GTCGAAGCAGACGACCTCATCTAGTATTGTAAAGATCAGCTGGCTGATATAGTCGTTTCCTTCCTGCTTTCCAAAATGGTTCAACATTCTTTACAAAGTCAAAAATCGAATGTCTATATATGGTTCTTAAACATTTTTCAGATTTGACTTCTGCTTGTTAAAGCTTTGAGTTCAGAACATGCTGAATAGAAGATTTTGAACTAAAGAAAGTCATGTGAGGAAAGTATTCATGAACATGATGAAAGTTGTAATGGGGAAATGAGAATCTTAACATTCAAATAATGTATTTTTAAGCCTTAAAACTTGTTTGGGTGGATGGTTAACCAAACAGCCCAGAAACAACAGTGCAGGTTCTGTGTATTTATAGATGAATGCAGCAGCCAATTAGCATATGGCAATATCTTCTGAACAGCCATGAAGTGAATGACCAATGTTTGGAAGATTGTTGGCCAGCCAAAAGGTGAAACTCAATTTTTCCAGTACTGTACTGCCACTATCCACCAGGCAATGGGACCTTTGTTGGAGTGTGAGCCCAGGCTGTGAACCCCACCACCCCCTTCTCCCCAAAATCCAGCACAATATTTGTTAGATGTACTGAGACCTGGTTGGTGGGTAGAGTACATCCAACCAGTGAGAGGACACATTCCATTGCATCTTGTGTTTTAAAGGTCTGTCTGGTTTGGATACTCTTAGGTATGTGTCTTTCCCCATGTGTTGGACACCCAGCAAAAAAAAAATACTCTTAAATATGAATTAAAGATTCAATCCTAAACACCCCCCACCCCCCCAACAGTTGTGATACTAGGAGGTAGAGTGGTTCCAGTTTGAGGGTGTGCGCTTATTGACCAAGGTGCAACTAGTTCTCCTCCTTGCCCAGTGACTGTTGCTCCTGGCAATTCGGAATTGTTTATGATAGTTTTTATGTATATTCAAGAATCCAAGTTGTAGATTGTAAAACCTTCTGTTAGGTCAATGTACTTGGATCCGCTGGATCTCAGTATGAGTATTAAACGTGAGTTTGGCTCTGCAGTTAACATTTTCTCTATGGGCTGCATAGAGCCAGGGGCAGATGGTTAGGAAACTGAGCAGTTCAAGGTTAGAGGAGCTGGGCAGATTTGTTTTTGGCATGCCTCTGAATTCCTGCTGATTAATGTTCATTGCTCATCTCTGATTGCCTCATATTGTGTTGTAAGTTTTGATTTGTGTTCGACAATGAACCAAGGGTGTTGGGTGAATTTTCTTTCTCTTGATTTAATCTGAAGGTAAATGCCCTGTGTGCCACCTGTTCAAGTCATGGAGAAATGAGTCAGAACGTGGCAAGTTACCAAAAATACCCTAGTGACCTAGTTTATACAGAATAATTCATAATTTCCCTGATTACCAAGAATCAAATCTGACGTGATTTTTCCCCTAGTACAATGGTAACTTTCCATACAGCCTTTAGAAAACTGATGGGAATAATCTTTTATCACAAACTTGGAACAATTATTTGCATTTTCTATTGCAGTTTGGAAATCCCAAGTTTCTACTGGATTGAAGTTTATAGGACTGTTCTCTCTACATCAGAAGTTGAGCTCACAGTTTAGGATGAAGTAAAATATGAGGGGAAGCACTGCATTGTTGGAGATACTAGCCTCTGGATGCGAGAGATTGAACTAAGGTTTGATCTGCCTGTTTATGTGGTTCAAGATCCATGACAGTATTTGAAAAGAGGACAAGTTTCTCCCTGTGTCCAGGTAAACTATACTCCAATGAATTGGGCATCCACCTCATTATTACTTGTGGGATACAAAATGTCTGTCATGTTTGCTGAAAGAAAAGTGACCACCTGGCCAACATTCTCCAGGTAAAATTGGTCATTCGCTTCACAGCTGTTTGTGGAACGTTGCCATCTGCAAAACATCTGTGGGTTTTGTCTACAAATCCACAGTTGCTACATGTTACAGTATTTCCTGTGAAGCGTTTTGAGTCATCTTGACGATGTGATAAGGTGCTACATCAACTGCAAGTATGATATTATTCCACTTGACAATGATTACTATAAAGAGCTTTGAGGTACTAGAAGATGTAAATTCTTTACTTTTTTTTTCCTGATTCAGAAACCTGTCACATAAGTTGAGCTTGAAAAGATTGAATATAATGTAATGTGCGAGTGGGATTTTCATAATATAATGTGTGTGTGTATGGTCACTTTAAAAAAATCTCACTGATGGGATTCATTGAAATCTCAGCTTGGTTTGGATACTCTTAAACATGGTGATGCGTTTCCACATGTGTCAGACACCCATCTGACCAAAAAAAGTCTATATCCTCCAACTCTCTGAGCAAAACTGAGCTCTTTCTTTGAAATTGTGATGTGATCTGTTAGTTTGTCCAGTTTTCCACTTTTTGTCTGAACAATCTCATCCGGGAAAGGGCTTGCCAATTATGAGTTGGAATATTAATGTGTGCAGACTTTTATTCAAAGTTACTGATGAAAGTGCTTTTCTTAATAAAAAAAATGCGAGAAGTGAAAGATTTGTAAAAGTTTGTGCTCTTTGGGGAGATATTCAGAATCCTTCATTGTTAGTTTGCTTTTAAATCGCTGTTAGCAGTTTCTGTACAGTTGAATGACATTTAGACTTTATGCTGCGCTCATTTGCCTGAGTAAGATTCCACACAATGGGATGCTGATATTCATCTTTCCAGTGTTTTTTTGTTGTTATTCAGTTTGCTCCTTATTTTCTCTGCAAAAGGTTCACATATTGTACCAATAGACTACTAGTGGTCAAAGTATACTCCATTTCATATCCAGGTAACTGGAATACTTGGGTTCAGATATCTTAAATAATAACCATCCCGTATCATAGACTCTTACAGTCCAGAAGAAGGCCATTCAGCCCATTGTGCCTGTTCCTGTTCTTTGAAAGAGCTTCCCAACTAGTCCCACATCCCCACTTCTTACACCATAGTCCTGCAAATTTTTCCTTTTCAATTCATATCCAATTCCGTTTTGAAAACCACCATTGAATCTGCTTCCACTACCCTTTCAGGCAGTGAATTCCAGATCGTAACAACTCGCTGGGTAAAACAATTTCTCATTGTCTCCCCTCTAGTTCTTTTGCCACTCACTAATCCAGGACCCCACCAAATATATTACATCATATTTCTTATGTAGGGTACAGTCTCTATCCTTCTGGCAGTGCTGGGCAACAAGCCATGGATAACACCCTGTTGTAAAACTGGGGTGGGGGGGAGGAGGAGAGATTCCGAAGCAGCGTTATCCTGAGCTAAGCCCCTTGGGGGAGGGAGAAGCCAAGCTGGAACTGAACTGGAATTTTCAAAATTATAGTAAGCTTTTCAGTAAATATTAAATGTAGAAAGGTAATGGTAGTTTGCATGCTGGTTAGTAACCTCCACATTCTTCTGGTACAAAGCCTGAAAGCACCTTGTAATCATAATAAATAACATGCAACAGTGGGGTAAAACAACTTGCATACAGTACACCTGTAGTTTAAGGTTTGCAAGAGCAACCAGGTTACATTTGTATAGCGCCTTTCACGTCGGGAGGTAGTAGAACTCAGGTGATGGATAGGCTTTGCATACAGAGCGAGATATCTGTCACCACTGCAAAATCAAATGCTCTGATAGCAGTTACTTCCGTAACTTTATTTAAATGCTTAAAAAAAGGCTGGTGGTTTCATAATTCATACAATCAGTTATTTCTATGTCGATATTATTGGGGACATGGCCTCATTGTGCTCTCTTTAGGCTGTTTAAGTCCGGTTTGGCTGAAACTACTGAATTAAACATAAAGCTGTATTGTTACTGCAGCTTTGTGTTTATCCAAAACCATCTCAAATGTTAGTCACACCTTCTCTTGAGACTATATCCAACCCCCCGCACCTCCCCACAAGCAGGATTTTCTGATGTGAAAACCCATTATTTCTATACTGGTGACCAGGGCTAATAGAAAATTGCGGAAATATTTGTCAAAAATTAAAATTTTTGCAGAAAATTGTGGGGTTTTGAGGTTGGGGGTGGGGGGCACCACCACTGTTTATAGCAGATTCCGTGGAAAAATTAAGGACACACTTTTCTATTGGCCCAGCTGGTGACCAGTGATCTCTGGCTCCCAGTCAAGGTTTGCACATAGATCAGTAATACTAACCCACAGATGGGTTTCAATGAGAGTGCAATAACCTTCTAGATGATACAGACTCCAAACTTTTCCCATGTCTTCCCCGCTGGCCTCCCCAGCTCCACCTCCACACCGTCCAGAAGTCTGCAGCCCACATCCTCTCCTGTATTGGACTCTAAGCTCAGCATCCCCATCCACACCTGACTTTGGGGACTCCCTATCCTGCAGCAGATCCACTTAAAGATCCTTATCCTTCAAACACCCCTTGGTCTTGCTTCACCTTGCCCCTGGTCTCCTGCACCCTACTTCCTCTGCTCTACAAAATCTTGCTTGCTTCTTGCCCCTACAATCAATGGGAGGACTTTCAGCTGCTTTGTTCACTTGGGAGACAGTGTGTGAGTGTAAATGGTGCCATTGTTCACAGAGCTCTCCACTGCATAGAACTATTACAGCAAAAGGATACCTTTGAAAGCACTGTATCAAATGAAGGATTATGAGTATGGATTTGTAAACTAGATTTATATGCACAACAGTTTTCCTTACTCGGTTCCATGTTAAAGAGCAACATGGAGCAGATTTCATATCTAGAACAGACTTCATAAAGATATGCAATTATTTGGCACAGTGAATTGAGGATGTTACCAATCATAGAAACATGTAATGACTATAAACACTAATGCCACGGTATAATGTGGGTCCTGTTATCAAGATAACAGCCTGAATGTTGCTGAACTATATTTAAATTGTCAACTGCAAATAGGTAGTTTCTTCTTAAATTCCAGTGAGTTCTTGTTTTATTTCTGAAGCCTTGACTTTTTTTCTGTCTTATCTGGTAAATACATTTATTTATTATTTTTGTCTTGATTCTTGAAATGTACAGGAATCCATCCGCTGCTTTCTACCAAGCTTTCCCCGTAAACAAGTCTCGGGACGCAAAGACCCTCTACAATAGGTATGACAATGTGAAAATGCATACCAGCAGCAGTATGCATTGCATGTGTTCCTTTGCACTGCTGGTTTCTCGTCAACCATTTGCTGCAAGAATAACCAGTTTCAAACTCTGTATATAGTCACTTTCAATATTTGGAGAGCACTGGTACAATAAGGCCTTTAAATACTAGCTGAGGTTACTCGACATTTGCATAAGGTTAGGTTGCTTTAGTCCCCAGCGATGTGGGGAAAGAATTAGTACTTCTACCAACAGAATGTGTGTCTCCACTGATCATGAAGATACAAGTTGAATTGAACATGGGCATCAGATGTTACTTTGTGTCCCTGATTCTAGAAACGGTCAGATTAGTGGGGAAATTACCTTTTGGCTTATATCAATTCTATTCAAGGGAAAATGAGATCTGGGAGTTCTGTGAAACAGATTATAAATGTAAATTTGTATCAGAGCCTTTCATGTTGGGAGGATGGTCCTGGTTTGGCGCCTGAGCTGGGGGCGTGAGAAGAGGAAAGATAATAATAATCCTTGCATTTAATATACCGCTTTATAACTGAAAGCGTGGTCAAAGCGTGGTCCTGAGAGTGGGGCAGATAAGCTGGAAGCCTGATCGCGAGTGGTGGGGAGGGTGGAGACGTGACATTATCACCACTAAATTGATTTGAAATTACTTGGGAGAGGTGGTTATCTTTGAAGGCCACCTTGTGCCACCTTCTGGTTTCGAACTCTAGAAATCAATGATGCAGCAGGAGGCCATTCAACCCACTATTATTGTCCGACGTTTGATTCTTCAATGCAGGCATCTATCTGAATCCCAATTTCAGCAAACGTTGTGCAGAAGGGTTTCAGAGGCTTGGGTCCTTTCCCCAGGTTTTTTTCTCTCTCTCTGGAGGAGCATTTGCTTCTCTGATGGTTTGGGAGAGTGGGGTGGGAAAGGGGTTCATTGGTACGTGTAAGTGTGCAGAAATGCATGTGCCGTTGGCACGGTTGGGTGACCCACGTGTAAGCATTTAGAATATCCCATTTGATTTATTTCAGTCATGAGCCATGGCACAGTGTTTTCTCCTCCTGAAGGAATTTAACTTGTGTTGCCTTACTTTTTTAGATAACTATTTCCCCCTTCAAAACTGATCTGAATCCTGCCTTATCCATTGCTCCAGGCAGGGCATTCCACATCTTTACAAATCTGTGTTTTTAAAAAAATCTTCTTAATCTCCCCCTTTCTCTGTTGCTAATTAGATTGATGTGCTGTGAACTCAGACAAGTGGAAATAATTTATCCCTATCAACTTTTATCAATGCCCCGCATAATTTCAAAGATCTCTCTCTCGAGTCTCCCTCAATCTTTCTATGCTCCAGTGAAAGTAGACCCAGTCCTCCTGTCTCTGCTTATACAGTTTGTTCAATGAATGCCAGGCCATCTGCCACCACACCTTCCAGCCAGTTAGCAATGGGGAGTGGAAGCCCTGGCTGATTAATTTCTCTCCCTAACTCAGGGATACTGCAGTCAGCTGTAGCTAACTCAGCATAGACCAAGATTTGAACTTATAACCTATTGGGGCCCAGTGATGTCTTTACCCACTGACCTTTGGAGGAGCTAAAACCATCTCTATTGCTAAGGTGAGGGATTGATCCTGATTTGTGGCTGAGGATGTTAATCTGCTGGGTCAAAGTTGCACATTTCAAGCAGCTCTGCAGTGCCTGGAGTTGCTGCTGATGGGGGAAATCTTTCCAGCAATAAGGACCATTTACTGTGCCTAACCCCAGAAGCTATGAATTTGTCAATTTGTTTTTTTTAAAAAAAAGAAAAAGTTGGCGAGAAACTTAATAAAGTCATGACTTCAGCATGAGCTAATCAACTGTGTGTCTGGGTGTAGCTTTTGAAAATTGCATTACTAATTCTTGGACTACGCCTTTCTTCCTCACAAAGCACCTACCACTTTTATCCCACTGTAAAAGAACCAACTTCTTCGTGTGTGGTTTGTGAATTACTTTCTTTCCACTGCCTGGTAATGCTTGTGCAGGGCACTGTGTGACGCTTCCACTAGAGCTGAATTGCCTCTAGACGTTTGCCCACATCACATGCTTGGGACCAATTTCAATTGTTCAACCTTAAGTAACCATATTTTTTGATGTGATTCACAAGCGATTATTGGCTCATCTGTTAGAAAGTACATTTCAGCTTGGTGTATACCACAGGGCGGGGGAAATACAGCTCAGTGTGCGCGGCTGGTGGGGGGGGGGTTGCTTGGTGTCCTGGTCTAATTGCCTCCTGTTATTCTTTCCCCTTCCTGCCCAGTGGAACATGTCGCCTATTGGGTGTAACGGCTGCAGTAAGGAGCTTCAACCTCGCTTGAAATACCTTGATAGCTAATTGCATTGTTTCTTCTAGTTCAACTTAGTGAGCCTTGATTTGTCTTCAACCACCACAACAAAATTACATTTGTATAGTTCCTTTCACGTCAGGAGGGTTTCCCAAAGCACTGGATAATCAGTGTGTCAGAACCAAGCTGGGGGTCGGGGAGGGTGGAGGGAAGGAGGGTAACTGAAGGCATGGTGGAAGAGGAGGGTCTTGAGCCAGGTCTTGAAGGAGGCTAGGGAAGGGGGAAGGCAGAAGGACTGCGGGATGGAGTTCCAGAGGGTGGGGGCAGAGTGGCAGAAGGCCCACCAATGGACACGGGGTGAAGAATTCTGGATGATCTGCAGCCTATGGAGGGAGGAGTTGGGGGAGGCTGACAAGCAGGGAGTTTGCGTAGTTGAGCCTGAATGTTGCACCTCCTTCCTGTGAACACAAATATGGAAACCTAGCATAGATCAGTCTAGTAAAATCAAAGAATTTCAATCTGCTCTCTTTCCCCTCTTCCCCTTCTTTCCCTCCTCTGTTCTTTGCCCCTTCTTCCTTGTTCTCTGTTCTGCCTTCTCCTCTGCTGTATCTTCCCCCCCCACCACCCACTGTAATACAGTGCTTCTGCCCTTCACATTTAATGACTTTGATTCTCATTTCTACCCCCTTGGCTGTATATACACACACACACACACACACAAAGTGAAAATACAAATTGCACAGAAATGTCCCCAGGGGTTAGATAGGAGCTGAGCAGCCTGCTGTACTGCATTCCTGTGCTGGTGACCAGACCTGGAGAGTGGATCTTGTGGGTAATCTCATATTTCAGTGGTCACTGCTACATTCTTCAACTGGCTCTGAGGTGGGGGGAGCAGAATGTTCTCAGTTTACTGCAGTGTTATAACATTTGCTGAGGCTTCATTTTGTCACTGACCGAAGTCTAGGTTTCAGAACTTAATTTGCTTAATTCATACATTGTTGAAATAAAACTTTGTGTGTGATACAAACTCAAAAGTTGTTGCTTGCGTGTCAGTACATACAGTAAAGCTCCTTCCTTTCAGACTACAGAGGAACTCTGGGTTTCCTTATTCAGTGTATGGGTTGGTTTAGTGCTATCTCAGAACAGCTTGTGTACGATTGGAAATGTGTATGTTCTGTTAAAAAAAATACTTCCAAGAGTCTGACGGAGAAATGGTCCATTTATTGTACCATAGATCGAGATCGGCCTGGGAGGGGTCAGGTTCACATACTCGTGTCATTGAACTTTTACTTATTCTGTATTTCAGTAACTGGGTGATTTAATGGGGGCTTATGGTATTGCTACAATAACAACGTAGCATTGATCTATTCCCACTGTAAAGGCACATGGTGTGAAACGTGCAGAATTGGATGTCTTGTAGCTACCCACATGCTCTTAGTTTAATTGTAAAACACTGCCATCTTTTCACTTTAATTTCCTCTGTTCCTTTTGCAGCAGTGACTGAGACAGAATATATCTGAGGCAACCAACTAATGACTTCTGGGAAGGAGGGCAAAGGGGGGCTTTTTTGATCTGACTGACTCCATGGTGATGTGCTTGGAAATAAAATGTCAGAATCGTGACCAATCCTCTGTGTTGGCCATCCTCTTTTCCTGCCCTTTCCCCAGTTTCTATTGGGGAAAGGGCAGGAAAATGGAACTTAAAAGATTGTTCTTTAAAAGAGCCAGCAGACACGATGGGCCAAAAGGGCTTCTGTGCTGTAAAGTTCTATGTTTTCTGATCTAGGTGGGTTTGCAGTCATCCTGGTTCATCAGTATCGTTTGGAGGGACAGACCAGTCACAGGGGCAGGAATTCTTCCCATTCAGTTCCTGTTAATCCTGCAAGCCGTAATGGTAGCTAGGGTGGTCTAGACCATAAGGGTAGGGTGGTCTACACTGAGCAAGAAGCTTCTGGAGTCTATTGAGGGTGGAAGAGAGGCAGCTATTGAACAGATTGATCAAGGTCAGGGCAGGTGACTGAGGGAGAGAAGTTTAGAGATACGTTAACCATAGTGGAAGAAGATGGTCGAGGGGAAATTAAGGTTAGGGTTATTGCACCGATGTGTTTGCTGGTCTAAGTCTTTGGGTGTGCTTTTGCCCCATGTGTGAAATCACTATTATCCTGAGTTTCTATTGATATCGGTCATGGATGTATTGTTAGGGTTTCTGTCCTGATGTTATCAATTTGTCTTTCTGATAACCTGATGGAGCAGTCTTTTATAATCTGGCCCTTCGTTCAGATCCTCGGGTATAAGCCAAAATTACATTTGTATAGCGCCTTTCACGTTGGGAGGACGTCTCAAGGCGCTGGACAGTCAGTGTTTCAGACCTGAGCTGGGGCTCGGGATTAGGGAGGGTGGAGGGCAAGGGGGAAAGAGGGTGATCGAAAGCATGGTTGAAGAGGGGTCTTGAGATGGGTCGTGAAGGAGGCAAGGGAGGGGGCGAGGCGGAGGGACTGCGGGATGGAGTTTCAGAGGGTGGGGGCAGAGTGGCTGAAGGCCTGCCCACCAATGGTGGGGCAGGTGAGGCAGGGGACATCAAACAAGCTGGAGCCCGCTGAGCGGAGGGATTATGAGGTTGCAGAGGTAGGCAGGAGTTAATCCATGGAGGGCTTTGAAGGTGAGGACCAAGATCTTGAACTGTA